AAGGCAACAACACAATACTATAAATGTATCACAAACACACAGCCCAGACCCACGGAGCAACAACCCTTTTTAAATCTATCTATCTATATAGTAACCCCTTCCCCACACGCTTGATCTCACCCACGGTTAGGCCTTCACATCTAGTAATGGCTCACTGCTGCAAGTTCAACATCACATCCACCAAGGAAGAAAAGGAAGCAACAGAGTGTAACATGGTTCACCATGCTAGCACATGGCATCTGCACATCTGCTCTGCAGCACAGCCAAGAAGGAACAGAGAGGAATGGAGAAAGGGGGAAGTGGTTATCTCTTTCCTGACTTGTAAAGGTATTGAATTACCAATTAATATTTCAAAAGGGTAAAGCTTATCCCACTGTAAGAAAAGCAAACATGAGCTTGGTCACATGACCCCTGGTCACCATATTAGTTTGATGACAGAATGTCACCACAACTTGTCCCTTGATCTGCCATCAACATGTTACTGTCTTTTTTGGCTCATTCTTTGCTCATTTCGTTTTTTGGTCGAATCGCAATTAGTTTGAATATAAATACTGAGACCTAGTTCTATAAGACAATTTTGATGCTAGGTACTCATCCTCATCTCTTTTAACATACATTGTTTATAAAAAAATTTTTTCCCCTTTGGTGAATGTTTATCCGTCAGTTTTCATTATTTATAAAATTTGTTAACAGTTTTTTTCGATTCTTTTTCTATTCAGCCTGTCTTTTGTGGTTTTTAAACTCCTTCAACATGTTGCTTGTCCATTTCGTTCCCTTCTTTGGTTTTTCTTCCCCTCCCGTGCTGACACACACTAGCTTGATACAGATAGATATTGACATGTAATGATGCGGATACAAGAAAGGGCACACTGATACACTCACATACATATATTAGCTTGCATTTATTAATTGAACAGTTCCTGAAGCAGTAAATAAGTTAACGTAAATATACTCTTATGTACTTGCTTACCTCCTGCCGAGGTGGACAGCACCACCATTCGTGGTTACACTTTTGCCACAAACACCCTCCCAGCGCCTGTGTAAAGTGATTGGCCTGGTCTGTGGACTCTACCCAGGCATGGTAATGATCATCCATGATATCGCCATCCTGACCACACTGACAGCGCATCAGCATCAGATTGGAGTGACAATCACCACAGACACCTCCTCTGAGTTGATGACGTGCAAGCAACATCAAACTAATTATTCTTTGTTAATCATTTAAAACAAAAAAGTATTTTTGTGAAGTATTTTAAGCAATTTATAACCCAACATAACATGAAACTGATAAGACAACAAGTACATACCCCAAATGTCCAATTTGTATAAAGATACACCTACATAAATATCAGTGATTATAAAAAACAAGAGATTAAAGGAATACTCCAAGCACCAAAACCAGTACAGCTCATTGTAGTGGTTATGATTCCAGAAGTGCCCTGTTGCCCCCGATTTGAAGTAGAGAAGCCATTTTAGAATGGTCTGATTTCTCACCTGAGGTCCACTAACAGTTACTTCCTGCCTCGACTACTGATGACAGAAAGCCAGAAGCTTCTTAGCAGGTGGTTCTCTTAGCTCTCCTGTGCTTAAGCTCTGCAATGCAGGGATACCTCACTGGCTAAAAGCATAAGCTCAGGCTGATCACACTCAGCCAATGAGCTAATACTCCAGTGATACTGGTGTATTGCTAATTGTATGGATATATATTGATCATTGTTTTCTAAACCTATTTAGTTAAAAAAAAAAAAAAACAATATCCTATGTATCCTATGCAATATTCTTGGCAAGTTGCCCAAAGTTCGAGAATCTTCCAAACAAAGTGCAGGTGTCTTATCACATGACTCTGACTCTCTCCGGGTGTCACACCAGTGCTCTGGGGTGGGCTGATATCTTGTATATGTGAGTAGCTGCACTCTCACGTGTATGAAATGTGCATGTCACTTGCATAAGCTAGTTATGTAAGCTCCTTTCGTATGATTATAAAAGCTGGGACTTTTAGAGATTTTTTTCAAACGCCTCATACACAAGTAGACGCACTACATGGAAACTTTCCCGATTAACCTGAGACTAGGCCATGGGTGAAAAAAGGGTCTTCCCACCCATGATTGTATTAGCCCGGATGTTGTTTTACAATAGATTAATCAGTGATGCATTACTTTAATCCTGTAAAATTCTTGTAATTAGCAATATGTTATCCTTAATAACTTGTAATTATAAACATTATACTATTTGTTCCTAAATAAATGAACTTTTATTATTTCACTGAATTGGTGTCATTTTCTGCATCCTGGTACCTTATAAATATTAAAAGCAAAATAACTGGTCAAATTTGTAGATATATTTGATCGGAGACCAACACTAGATTGTAATTTTTTTCACAGTATTTTTTTATTCACTAAGTTTAAAGCTGGGCCCACAATTATATTTAGTTCCTTAGAAACATACCTCACAGGCAGGCTTCGATCTTAGTTAATTTATAAATGCCTGCAAATTGATGTCACCCATTATGGTGGCCTCTAGCTAAACAGTATGTGCAGTCACAAGGGAGCCTGCAAACAAATAAGTTGATATTTATTTATGTAGATTGGATTAGCTGAATTAGTCCAGTATGCAATGGTACCTTTTTCATTAGACTAACATGATGTGTAAAAGACAAGCTTTCGACAGTGTTCCTCTCTTCCTCTCTTCAGTATTGCTTCAGATCTGAGGAATAGAAGAAAGCTCTAAAAAGCTTGTCTTTTAAATATTATGTTAGTCCAATAAAAAGGTATCATTGCATACTGCGATACTATGGCTATTTTGCATATTTATTTAGGTTAAAGGAACTCGCCACGCATCAAAAGTATAGTGGTTGTAGTGTCACGAGTGTCATGGCACTCCACCAATGCTAATGGTTTGACACCTTACCTGGGTCCACCATTGAGCTAAGTCTGTTGGTGCATGAACGAAAACCCAGTCTATATTCTTGTGCAAATTAAAAGGGTGATTTTGGGCTGACTGGTGACACCCCAACGTCATTGCCAGAGGTGAAGTTACAACTCCGGAAGCAGAAGGGTTCATCTCCACACGTGCACCATTTCAAAGCAAAATGCTGCACATACAAATTCCAGGTACAATAACCACTTCAAATCACTGACGTGATCATGGTGCTTGGAGAAACCCTTCAAGGTTAATTTTTAGTCCTTATCTTGCTGAACAAGATGGGCTATGTTGGGCTTGTTGCTTGTGCCGTGACTTCATAAACGATCACCAACCATCACCAACAAAAGAAACCCAGAGCATGGCACCGCCAATTAAGTGTATTCAAACGATTGACTTGTATTATGTGCCAATTGACTGAAACTGAACATGGCAGAAAGGTTGTTGGCAGGAGACCCATCTCATTTTGTAAAGGTAATAAAGCCTAAATTAATATGAGAGTGTAAAAGTCTTTTTAATACTCTGTCTTGTCTTGTATTCCTTTTTATTGCATCTTTAGGGACTTTATGCTCAATTAACCCTTTGGCAGAGAAAGGGTTATGTTTTGCAATATACAAACCTTTTAGCAATAAATTAGGTATTTCATAGAGCCTTGTGTATTAAGAGGTTTTGGTAACAGGATTTTTTCATTATTTAACTTCACGTTTCCTTTGATGAATCATCTTAATGGTTTGAATGCATAATTAAGTTACAGTTGCATAACAGAAAACGGCGCAGTTGACTCGCTCTGCAAGTAATAAACAGACTGCAGCCTTGCTGCTGGGTAAGGCAAATTGCTGAATTGTTATTCGATTTAACCCTTGCCATGCTTTCAATTCCTCTATTTATATAATATCTTGGTAAAGACTTGAGAGCTTAGTTCAAGGTAACAAAACAGCATCTCCTTTCTCAATGATGATCACGGTAACTACTGTGCAGCAAGAGCTGAGATCAATTTTTTGTTGTTGTCATAGAGCAACTACATTTTTATCGAAACCCGAGTCAAAAGGCATACTACCGTATATACTCGAGTATAAGTCGACCCAAATATAAGTCGAGACCCCTAATTTTACCCCAAAAAACTGGGAAAACTTATTGACTTGAGTATAAGACTAGGGTGGAAAAAATGCAGCAGCTACTGGTAAATTTCTAAATAAAATTAGATCCCCCAAAAATTATTTTAATTGAATATTTATTTACAGTGTGTGTATATAATGAATGCAGTGTGTGTGTGTATGACTGCAGTGTGTGTATGAATGCAGTGTGTGTGTGTATGAATGCAGTGTATGTGTATGAATGCAGTGTGTGTGTGTGTGTATATGAGTGCAGTGTGTGTGTGTGTATGAATGCAGTGTGTGTGTATGAATGCAGTGTGTGTGTGTATGAGTGCAGTGTGTGTGTGTGTATGAGTGCAGTGTGTGTGTATGAGTGCAGTGTGTGTGTGTGTGTATGAGTGCAGTGTGTGTGTATGAATGCAGTGTGTATGAATGCAGTGTGTGTGTGTGTATGAGTGCAGTGTGTGTGTGTGTATGAGTGCAGTGTGTGTATGAATGCAGTGTGTATGAATGCAGTGTGTGTGTATGAGTGCAGTGTGTGTGTATGAATGCAGTGTGTGTGTGTATGAGTGCAGTGTGTGTGTATGAGTGCAGTGTGTGTGTATGAATGCAGTGTGTGTATGAGTGCAGTGTGTGTGTGAATGCAGTGTGTGTGTATGAGTGCAATGTGTGTGTGTGAATGCAGTGTGTGTGTATGAGTGCAGTGTGTGTGTGTGTGTGTGTGTGTATGTGTATGTGATGAAGAGCCTTGGTGGGGGGGTGAGCATTTTTATTATTTTTTTAATATTATTATTATTATTATTATTATTATTATTATTTTAATATTTTTTATATTATTGATATTTTTATGTTATTTTGTATTATTTACATTTTTATGTTATTTTTTTCCGTCCCCCCTCCCTGCTTAATACCTGGCCAGGGAGGGGGGCTCTCATTCCCTGGTGGTCCAGTGGTATGCATTGTGTAGGAGGGGGGCTGGCAGGAAGCGTTTACTTAACTTTCCTGCAGCTCCTGTCAGCTCCCTTCTCTCTCCTCCGGTCCGGTCAGCTCCCCTGTCAGCTCCACTGCCGAGCTGACAGGGGAGCTGACCGGAATGGAGGAGAGAGAAGGGAGCTGACAGGAGCTGCAGGAAAGGTAAGTAACAGCTTGCTCCCAGCCCCCAACAGGACCGCCAGGCTTATAATGAGCCCGGCGGTCGTGGTCTGTATTATGGTAATGTAAGTTGCCATAATACAGACACTCACTTGAGTATAAGACGAGTGGGGAGTTTTCAGCACAAAAAAATGTGCCAAAAAACTTGTCTTATACTCGAGTATATACGGTAATTGTTTATGGAATGGCTACTTGCACTTGAACCACAATATATTAGATTTATTTTCATGGGTTTTATTTGTTGTTATAGATACGTGTATTTATTTATATACAATGCAAGGTTTTCTCATTTTGAATGACGCAGGATCACATGGTATCATCAACATATTATACAACACACAATCACAAACCAATAAGCTAATTCTGCAGTAAAGTAAAATGTAAAACCAGCAACGGCGCAATACATCTTTGAGAATGGAAGTCAAGTTAGACATATTATGTATTAAATACACTGCTCAAAAAAATAAATGGAACACAAAAATAACACATCCTAGATCTGAATGAATTAAATATTCTTCTGAAATACTTTGTTCTTTACATAGTTGAATGTACTGACGACAAAATCACACAAAAATTAAAAAATGGAAATCAAATGTTTCAACCCATGGAGGTCTGGATTTGGAGTCACACTCAAAATTAAAGTGGAAAAACACACTAGAGGCTGATCCAACTTTGATGTAATGTCCTTAAAACAAGTCAAAATGAGGCTGAGTAGTGTGTGTAGCCTCCACGTGCCTATATGACCTCCCTACAAGGCCTGTGCATTCTCCTGATGAGGTGGCGGATGGTCTCCTGAGGGATGTCCTCCCAGACCTGGACTAAAGCATCTGCCAACTCCTGGACAGTCTGTGGTGCAACGTGACGTTGGTGCATGGAGAGCGACATTATGTCCCAGATGTGCTCAATTGGATTCAGGTCTGGGGAACGGGCGGGCCAGTCCATAATATCAATGCCTTCGTCTTGCAGGAACTGCTGACACACTCCAGCCACATGAGGTCTAGCATTGTCTTGCATTAGGAGGAACCCAGGGCCAACCCCACCAGCATATGGTCTCACAAGGAGTCTGAGGATCTCATCTCGGCACCTAATGGCAGTCAGGCTACCTCAGGCGAGCACATGGAGGGCTGTGTGGGCCCCCAAAGAAATGCCACCCCACACCCTTACTGACCCACTGCCAAACCGGTCATGCTGGAGGATGTTGCAGGCAGCAGAACGTTCTCCACGGTGTCTCCAGACTCTGTCACGTCTGTCACATGTGATCAGTGTGAACCTGCTTTCATCTGTGAAGAGCACAGGGCGCCACTGGCGAATTTGCCAATCTTGGTGTTCTCTGACAAATGCACCTGAGGGTTTCGCCCCTGGGTATGGTGCCCAAGAAGGAGCCGGACCATTCACCATTTGTCACACCGCAGTGGAGTTATGGGGTGATCTGCTTCGGGATCGGCGTGTCGCGTTTGACTGCGACACTTTGGCGGTGCTGTTAGCCATCAACAATCTGTCGGCCTCCTCTCCCCCGGTGCTTCGGCTGCTGCCTGACACGGAATATTGTATCTAGGGTGGTGCATCTCCCGGGGTGGTCAATGTAACAGCGGATGCCCTTTCTTGTTCACAGTGGTGGGAATTTCTGGCGGACACTCCCGGGGCAGACGCAGAAGGTTTCCTGTGCCCTGTGAAACTGTGATCTCTTGGGTTGACAGGGTGATGGAGCAGATCAGCGGGTTGGTGTTGGAGGCCACATGAGTTTAGTATGGTAAGGCATGGCAGGAATGGTTAGCGTTTCAGCAAACCTACGGGGGTTTTCTTTGGTCCAGGCACGGCTCCAGGGTCTGCTGCATCTTCTATGGTTCTGGGAAGTGTCAGGGTGCTCACCTTCGGCTGTTTCGGCCAAGCTTTTGGGCCTTAGCTTCTGATTTAAGCTGGCTAAGGTCCCGGACGTTACGAAGGATTTCCTGGTAGAGGCGATGAAGGGTTGGCGTAAGGGCCATAGGGTCCTGGAATCGCGTAAGCCCGTCTCTGGGGCTTTGCTGTTGGGCATCTTTCAAGTCTTACCTCAGGTGTGTTCGTCGGAGTTTGAGGCGGTCTTGTTCAGGCTCGCATTTGCATTTGCATTTGAGAGTGAGGGAACACCTTAGCCCCAGCAAACGGATCCCTGGGGATATCCTGGTGAGGGATGTTGTGTGCCAAGGTGGGGTGGTACAAATTCTGCTGCGCAGGTCCAAGACGGATACGGGTGGCAGAGGTGTGTGGGTAACCTGGTCGGATTCCTGCGGTACAGCGCCTTGCGTCTGCCTGGGGAGGGCCCCTTGTTGGTTCACCACAACGACGGACACCTCACTCAGGTTTTTTGCAAGTCGCTGGAGGCTTTTTGGAGGCCATGGCGGTGTTGGTGGGGCGACCACGCTGATTTTAGGGGTAAAACAGCAGGGGCTTGTGGCGGATGGAGGTCCTTGCCAGTCATGGTTGGACCAACGATTCAGTGGAAATGGTTCAGGGCTGATCCCTACCCTAGCCTCTGGATTAAGTTATGATGAAGGATGTGCCTACTGAGCCAAAGCCAGTGGTTAGCATGGATGTATTGGAAGGCCGGTTGAAAGGTCAACTGTGGTGTATGGACGAGGCGGGAGGCAAGTGCCCAGGTTATGTTAAATGGTTGGCAAGGATCTGGTAATGGAAGTTGCGGTTACTGAATGTCATGTTAATGTATTATGTTAATAATGGCATTGTTTTAAATAAAGCTGTGGCCTGTTTGTCACTATTTACGTCTTGCGTCAAGTTATTCTGGGTAACTTGTTATAAGTAAAAAATGTTTCTTCCTACACTATCCCAACTACCTTCACACATGGATCTGTGATCAACTATTTTCAATTGCATCACTTTTCTAAAAGTGTAATATAATTTCTGTCCAGTTCGTAAATTCAATAAACCCCATGTAGTTTTTAAGTTAAAGTGTCAAATACATCTTACCATAAGTATTACCATACTATGAAAAGTCCAGATATGTATGTAAAAGTTATGGCATGTGCCTTTTTTTTATTCAGGAATAATTTGACCAAAGTTAGGCCAAATATTCAAAATAATTAAAATCTTTATTTATTTATTTTTACCTTTTACATGACTTAAATTATGCAATTTGTTTGTCAATTCACAACAATTTCCAGTTTAGTGACTGCTTCAAGTATTTTATTGGTATAAATAAAATGAAAATGTGTCAGAACATAAAACTCATGGCTGTGCTATCTCCCCTCCAAACTCTTCGAGCACGTATAAAAAATAAAATATCAACCCATTTTACTTCAATCTGAAATTTTATTGTGAGGTTTTCAATAAAATTTGAGATCATTCTCAAAAGTGAACATAAAAACATATCACAACAGAATGAGATTGTTTTGTATCAAATGTGCATCACCTAATTTACATCTCTCTTGCTGGGAAACTGGGAATTGTCAAGAATTGGCCTGGGAATTGCAGGTTTTAGGGATTAAAATACACACTGAGTTTGACTATTTTTGCTTGAAATTCCTGATTTAGTGAATACCCTGGGTTTCGGGTTTGATCAAAATCATACAATGTGAAACACACTTTGTTATTGTTCCAAGGTAGGCAATCTTCAGCATTCCAGGTGTTGCGGACTACATCAACCATAATACTCTTACAGTCATACTGCTGGCAAAGCATCAGGGGAGATGTAGTATATAACATCGGTATCACCAAAGGTTGCTTAACCCTGCTATAGTTTATAAATTATCTTGGGTTTACACCTAACAGGACAGGTGTTTAGAATATTTCAAGTGACCTTTGGTGACATTGTGTGACCTTGAACAATGAAACATGGGCACGGGACTCCATTAAATGCAGATACTCTTGTCTCAACCTATTAAACGAACCCAATCCAAATGATTGAGACAGGAATCTCATTCCAAGCATAGCCCACTGAACTCCAAGAATCAATAAACTGCTAATTTGATCACGTTTTCCACGAATGTGAGCGCCTGTTGTTTGGGAGAAGGGAGGATTTATGCAGGAAACTTTTTAGGGAAATAATGGAGCCAACTGAAGCATCCGTTTATTCTCAATATAAGAGCTGTTTGTAAAGACAAGGGCGATTGAAAATGGGGAGAGGGTTGTGGGCACACAGAGGAGACCACAAAGAAGAGACACCAAGCCAAAAAAATAACATCAAACAGTGGGTGCAGTAAGTAGGGGTAGGAGGTATATTTTATGATGGTTAGTGAGCATTACAAGAGTTGGAGTCTGAAGATAGATACTGGGTTAATAGAGATTATGTCTGAGGAAGTGCCCAAGAGACACCAAATGTGTAAGCGTTCGCATTTTGGTGTGCCTCCTTGTAATTTTTTTTAGAATGAACTGAAGTAATGACTTTTTAAAATTATTATTACGTTTGGATAATGGTTGTGGATTCTGTGCTTCAGACAATATTTGTTTACTTTTTTTTTTTTTAATAAAAGCAGTGATTCTGTTTCTTTTATTCACAGATAACATGCATTGTATTGTAACAGAAGCTGCTACAGAGCAGTGTTAACTTGAAACATGGTATTGCTGCTTGGATGGGCTGTAAACAGCTTTTCCTGTCTACAGGGGTCAGTATCTCAATGACCTCAGCTTCAGGGCCTGAAGGACACGGGGGATGAGCCATCTGCTCTTGCTGTCCACTGCTAATGCACATTGCGTGGCATATGCCAGTAGTCTGGCAGAAAGCCCAGGTACAGGGGCCGGAGGGAAGGAGGAGCAGGCGTTTAACCAGTTTACTTTGCAGTGCATTTAGAGAGGGTTCAGAAATGAGGTCTCTTTAGTTCTTGCTGAACTTCAAATCGCATCATGCTCAGCTAATCTCTGTCTGGCTGACTGTGGTGAGTGTTGTAGTTCCCCAACTTCCTCAACGGAGATGCAGCTTTCTTGAATTTTTTTATAAAAACATTCAATATAGATTGACGAGAGAAAGAGAGAAAAAAAGAAAGAGTGGGAGAAAAAAAA